TTGGACGGACATAAGTAATCATAAGGCCAGTAATAAGGCCATAGGACCCATGGGGGTAGTTAGAGGGAGAGGTTTCAACCCAATTTAAGTTAAATATAACTGAGAACAAACATGTCTCTTGTTCCTAATAACTAGAGTCTACTTAGCAGACGTGGATGCAAAGCAAGACAGTGGTTCTCATACTTGAGTGAGCATCAGAACCACATGGAGAACTTGTCAAAAATAGCAACTGCTGGGCTCAGAATTTCTGATTCCTTAGGTCTAGGTGCGGCCTATGCATGTCTAACAAGTTCCCAGAGATGGGGCGATGCTGATCTGAGGACCTCATTTGGAGAGCCATCTGTTGTAGAAGTTTGGACTACATAATCACCTTTCCACTGACAGAAACCCAGGGAGTAGACTTATAAGAAGTATGGGCATGTTGGCCGTCAAGTATCACATGGATTCTAATAGCTGTGCTTTACTACTGTTATCCCCATTTCACTAATTTTCAGGGAAAAACCCTCTTGCCTAAATTCTTCCCAAGATCAAGTATTTCCTCCCTTATGGTGCATTCCCTACCTGCACTAGTCCATGATGCCTGTAATCCCAACACTTTGGGAGGCCAAGGAAGAAGGATCACTTGAGCCCAGGAGTTTGAGACCAGCTAGGGCAACATAGACTCCATCTCCACAAAAAAATTTAAAAATTAGTTGGATGTGGTGGCATGCACCTGTGGTCTGAGCTACTCAGGAGGCTGAGATGGGAGGATCACTTGAACCTGGGAGGGCAAGGCTGCAGTGAGCTGTGATCGCACCACCACGCTCCAGCCGGGGTACAGAGCAAGGCTTTCTCTCTCTCTCTCTCTCTCTCTCTCTGTCTCATACACACACACCAGATACAGGAGGAAAATAATAATAGAAAATTCAATTCATTCTTCACCTCCAAAGCATCTAAATCCAGGCCTGACAGAAATACACCACCCAGAAACACACCAGGAGCAGCCTTCTCCTTCGTCCCTTCTCCGGTGACCAATACAGCAGATGTCAAAAGCACAGCCTGCTCCAGCATCCTGAGCGGACAGGCTTCAGCCCCACGTGGAGACGCCAGGTGGCCACACAGGTGTTACCGTGGTGGTTCTCAGCACTGGCTGCACATTGGAACTGCCTGGGAAGCTTGTAAACATCCAGACGGCCGGGTTCCCCTCAAAACCAATTAAGTCAGACTCTCTAGGGGTGGGACTCAGGCCTCACAATTTTAAAAGATCTTCAGGTAATTCTCATGTTCAGCCAAAATTGAGAAAAGCTGCTTTGTTGTTTTCCTAACCTCAGGCCCTCAGAAATACCAGTGTAGACTTGGCAGGGTTGTCCGCCCTAGTGGATCATTCATTCTGGCCCTTAGGATGATCCTGGTTCTTAGCTGTTCCATATCACTCAGCTCTGAGACATAACCTCATGCAGGGACAAGAAACACTTCAACAGAATCAAATGCCAGAGCAAAGGACTTCTCAATAGACCTAACCTCAAGGTTACATCTCTCCATTTAATAGTGTTGTCAGTTTTGAGTTCCTAAAAAGGTCAAAGGCGGTGCCTCCCAGCCGTAACCCTGGTCTCATTGTTTGGCTGGAGGCAACACTGTGGGAGGCTGGCAGGAGCACCTCCAGGACAGAGCAATCAGCTTCAGTGCCTGCAGCACTCTGACTTCTATTTCCTCTTGATTTTCTGGAGTTTTGGAGTAAAGATAGAAGATGACACCAGATGGCCGGGGGCAGTGGCTCATGCGTATAATCTCGGCACTTTGGGAGGCCAAGGCGGGTAGATTGCCTGAGTTCAGGAGTTTGAGACCACCCTGGGCAACACAGTGAAACCCCCGTCTCTACCAAAATACAAAACATTAGCCGGGCTTGGTGGCAGACACCTGTAGTCCCAGCTAGTCGGGAGGGCTGAGGCAGAATTGCTTGAAAGAACCCAGGAGGCAGAGGTTGCAGTGAGCTGAGATTGCACCACTGCACTCCAGCCTGGGCGTCAGAGCAAGGCTCTGTCTCCAGAAAAAAAAAAAAAAAAAAGACATCAAAATAGAAGAATTAGTAGTCCTGGTCTTAGAGGCATCACAATTTGATGGCCCCCTCCTCACTCATTTCCTCAAGGGCTAAAGTCCCAAAATGTTGATAACAGTGTAGATTTTTTGCCTGGTTTGCTAACATGAGTACCTGACTTGTCTGTGTCCCTACAATGTCATCCACCTCTTCAAAAGCTCCTCTGCCTGGGTCACTGGGTTTCTGGGCCTGAGGTGTTTGCCTGGCATCCCCCAAGATGATGGATTTCCTGAGGTCAGGAGCTAAGGTTCACACGCTATCTCCTGTGGTTGCCCCCATTCAGGGGTTCCAAAAGCATTGATTGGTTGGTAGAAAATATGGGAGGCCACATTTGAAGAGGAAGCTGTTCTTCCCCCTGGCCGGGCTCTCTTGAGAATTAAATGCGATTAAGGGCACAGTGGGCAGCAGGCAGTTAGAGCTCACCTTGGGGGAGTTGTCAAGAACCTCACTCACCACATCCCAGGGCCCGATATCCCAATATCCACCTGATGTCTGGCAAAAGACGCGCTTCCTTCTAGGAACAGGAGGTGTCTGTTTTTCACAGAGGCCTTTTCTCAACCCCTGCCCCTCCAATTTATCTAGCAAATGGCCCCAGGAGCTACCCATCTACTTCTCCCCCTTGCCCAAGGGCATCCAAAGGGGCTCTGAATAATATGCTGATATGCAATTTGGGAGCCTCAGGACAGCCCACTTCCCTCATGGGCACAGCCATGCACCACCCACTCCTGGAAGGTCTCCTCAACCCAGGGCTCCCTGAGAGCAATGGGGTGGCAGGCCAGGCACTCTCTGCACGGAGCCCGGGCAGCCCCTGAATACTCACCTCTTTGGCTCAGGGCCTGAGAGTCAGGCCAGGCTTGGGGCTAGGCCTGAAACCTGGTTATGGAGGTGGGCCTGGGCCTGGCCCTCAGGGAGCTTCCATTCCAGCCCTCAGGCAAGAGAAGAAGACCAGGAGGAAGAAAAGCCTATGGCGAGCAGGGGCCCCATTCTGACCAGTGCTCCCTTCCCTCTTCCAGCAGCAGTGGTCTGAGGCGGAACAAAGCTTCCACTGCCTCCTCCTTTTGGGCAGCTCTGAGGCCTGAGGAGGTATTAACTAATGATGCACCTGCTCTTCGTTAACCAATGAAGCAGGGATACCCAACCACAGCTGGAATGTAACCAATACTGGGGGAATTAAAGATCAAAAAACACCAAAGGCCAAGACAAAGCTGATGGAGTGGCTTCTTCCCACTCACCCCCCACCTCTACCCCACCAGCCCTCACCAGAGGCTGAAAGAGATTCCTCCTCACTTATTTCTCAGGGGATCTTGCTGGAGCAGGAAATTTCCCTGACCCCTTGTGGGTGGAAACTGGAGTGTGGGTGCTTGAACTAGCTACTTCGGTGCCTGCAGGGCAAACCCCACTCAATGGAATCCGCTGCACTCAACCCCTCCAGGGAGGGAGCATGCAGGTGAGCGGGTGCAGGAGCCAGGGAGAGCACTTTGGGTGCCAGCAGGAACACACCCTGTCCTGGCCCTGCAGCAGTGTCTAGGGGGGTGCCCACAACACCTGAAGCCCCAGAAGGAGTGTTTCAGTCAGCGCTCTTTTAGCTTTGCCACCTGCAGATGGCTTAAGTGTTAACAGCTCAGTGGAGGGTCAGTGTGACAGCCCTTTGCACCCACACTCGAGTTCTTATCTGAGGTCTAGGAGGAATGAGGTCACACAAACAAATTGGAGATGATAAATGCAGGGGATTTTATTGCTGATGAAAGTGGCTCTCAGTGAGAAGTGGAGTTGAAAAGGGGAGGGAGTGGGTAGGTAATCTTCCCCCAGAGTTCAGCCGTCCCTGGCCAGACTCCTCTCCAAAGCTATGCCATCAAGCTGTCCCTCTGAAGTCAAGCCCCTTCTCTCTGACATTCAACCGTGGTCTCTGACATCCAGCTGCTTCTTCTCTTCTCTCTCTGCCGGTGGAGCCTGGGGCTTTCATGGCACAGGAGAGCGGGTGGGGTGGGCCATGGGTGGTTTTGGAAAAGGCAACATTCAAGCAGGAACACAGGAATGTATGATCTCACTTTGGACCATAGTTTCAGACTTGAGGGTGGGGCCCTTGCTGGGGACCCGCCCACTTCTGCCCAGAATTTCCCTGCCTCCTGTCCCTATCATTGCCACCCAAACCTGGGCAAAGCTAAGGCTGAAATTCCCCTGGAGTGAAAACAAGATGGACATGAAGACCTGCTAGACCAGGAGTCACTCCTGCCACTGGCCTCCCCTTTTCTGAGCACTTCCTCCCCTCCTGGTGCCTCCTCATCACTCAGCTTTCCTTGGAGTGCACCCTCCAGTCCTAGGGAATCTGCTTCCAGAAACCTACTGGCATTAGTCATTTGCACCTTTGTGTGATTTCAGTCCTTATGTCATCTCTCCCACCAAAATCCCTGGGCCTCTGAGTGGAACGTCAAAGTCTTGTAGCCACTTTTCCTAGGTCGAAGAACTCCAGGCATGGCAAAGCCCTGGAAGAGATATGGGGTGGAGGAGAGATGCAGAAGAATTCTGGGTCCTGAAATTATGCCATTTAAGTGAATCTTGCCATCTCAGGCCCCACCACTCCGAAAGTGTTAGCATTCCTCAGAGTTATGTCCTTGGTCAAGGTCCCTCCACACGTCTCTCGGGTCTTTTTTGCAGCACATAAGACTTCCACCACCACCCATCCCCAATACCCTCAAATCCTTACCTCTACCCGGTGTCTCTGAGTGCCCTGCCTTGGGATCAGGCTGGCTACTGAATGCTCAGTTTCTACCTGAACATGTGGCATCCCCTTCCCTAGATGCCATCTCCTTCTTCCATAGCTCCATCAGTGGGACCATTCTACTTGGGTGACACCTGCCACATAAGCCCCTCTCCTCTCCATCCATCCTTCCATTGCCTTGGTTAGAGCCCTAGAACCCTCACTTACCTATGAGAACAGTCTACGTTTATTGAGAGTTTGAGGAGTCCTTGTAGGTGGTTTTTCTGCATGGAAAAGATTAAAGATAACTTTAGTTTAAAAAAAAAAAAAAAAGCAATGTAACTTTTTGGCATGATCAATTAAAAAAATCTTCCCTTAGCTTTTTTTCCAACAGGAATAATTTAATATAAAGAATTAACTAAGCATACATTTGTTGACTGTATCACCAATAATTATAATCATACTTTATTGGGCAACATTTTCAGTAAGTAGAGCTTTTAAAGGTCTAAGGATTGAGCACTTTCAGGTGTCATTTCTCTGTCTCTCTCTCTCGATATATATATTTCTATATATATATATATTTTTTTTTTTTTTTTTACCATCTTAACCATTTTTAAGTGGCACATTGTTCAGTGACATTAAGTACATTCACGTTGTTGTTCTACCACTGCTAACATCCATCCACAGAATTCTTTTTATCTGCAAAACTGAAACTCTGTACACATTACACACTAACTCCCCATTCTCCTTCCCCTGCCCTAGCCCCTGGCACCACCATTCTACTTCTGTCTTTATGAATTTGACTACTCTAACCTCACATAGGTAAAATTATATTATATTTGTTATTTCATGACTGGCTTATTTCACTTAGCATAGTGTCCTCCAGGTTCATCCATGTTGAAGCATGTGACAGAATTTTCTTCCTTTTTAAGGCTGCATAATATTCCATTGTATGGCTATACCACATTTTGTTTATTCATTCACCTGTAAAAAACCTTCCTTTAGCTTTTAAGTTCTTTGAAAGATTTTCCCCCTATTTATAACTGTAGCAAATTATAGGAAACATCTTTAGAATGTTGTTGGTTAATATTTGGTCCTATTTATAAGCTTATGTATATACATTCAAACATTTTAAAGTATTTTTATAAATTTAATATATGCAACTTCTTTTTAAATACCTCAATTATCTGACTTAAACAAAATCTTAACAATCACTTTTAATAAATGTAAATATAATAAACTGATAAATATAGCAGTACTTAAATTCTTCTAACTCTTCCAACACAGAAATTTATAAAGCTTTCAACTTAAAATCACAAGTCTAACTTCTGCAATTGCACTTTTAAATTCAAATTATAGTCCCAGCACTTTGGGAGGCTGACGTAGGCAGATCACTTGAATTCAGGAGTTTGAAACCAGCCTGGGCAACATGGAGAAACCCCATCGCTACAAAAAATACAAAAAGATTAACCAGGTGTAGTGATGCATACCTGTAGTCCCAGCTACTTGGGAGGCTGAGGTAGGAGAATTGCTTGAACCTGGGGGCTGCACTCCAGCCTGGGTGACAGAGCAAGACCCTATCTCAAAAAAAAAAAAAAAAAAATTCAAATTATAAGCCTCAGCTGTTCCTCTCATAGACCAAATTCTCTTAAACATCGTAAGTACTTAAAATGTCAACTATGTATAGAGTATTCCTAGAACAAAAGAATTAATACTGACCAGGTGCAGTGGCTCACACCTGTAATCCCAGCGCTTTGGGAGACTGAGGTGGGTGGATCATGAGGTCAGGAGTTTGAGACCAGCCTGACCAATATGGTGAAACTCCATCTCTACTAAAAATACAAAAATTAGTTGGGCATGGTAACGCATGCCTGTAGTCCCAGCTACTTGGGAGGCTAAGGCAGAAGAATTACTTGAACCCAGGAGGAAGAGGTTGCAGTGAGCCGAGATTGCACCACTGCACTCCAGTCTGGGAGACAGAGTAAAACTCCGTCCCCCCCTAAAAAAAAGAATTAATACTATCCAATGTATTTGAAATAATTTCTAATTTCTATACTGTACTTAATTTTCATGGGCCTAAAGAGGTTTTCCCAGAGAGGAGACTTTTCCAGACTTACCAGAAAATAAGAACCACCTGGGCATTTGTCAAATACACAGATTCCTGGGCCCCAACCTACATTCCCTGAATCTGCATTTCCAGGAAAAAGACCAGGTAATCTGCATGATTATAACAGCCCCAGTTTTATCTCATCACTGTGGAAGTTTGGAAACACTTTACTTAGGGGAAAATTGCTTCTCAGTCATCTACGGACCAGATTTTGGCCAGGCTCTGAGTAGATTCTTGAGGGTAACTCTGACAGGATCCCCCTACCCCTTTTTTATCTTTTATTTCAGGGTTGTTGTAAGTTACAGGAGGCAACTCACCTTCTTTTGATGTGTATCACATCATTATTCAGTTTTCAAATCAGAGTACAGCCTGGGACCTCATCACTCTCTGGCTATATAGATAATGTTAATATCTTCTCTTTCTATCTCTGAAGAACTTTTTAAAAATTCTTGTCTCTCCAGGCTCTCAGGACCACATATCTTTAGAGACTGACAGGCTCCTAAGAAGCACCCTGATTCTGGCCCTGCCCCCTCCACAGGTGATCTTCCCTCCACATGTGATCTTCCCAAGATGCAAGAAAAGGGCATACCCTATTAAATCCTCCCCTGGCTGCCACCGCCAAGGTCCTATGGACCTAAAGGAAGAAGGCATAAAACATCATTTTAAAGAGTTAACGTGAAGGCTGGGCGCGGTGGCTCATGCCTGTAATCCCAGCACTTTGGGAGGTCAAGGCGGGCAGATCACGAGGTCAGGAGTTCGAGACCAGCATGACCAACATGGTGAAACCTCATCTATACTAAAAATACAAAAATTAGCTGGGTGTGGGGGCATGCACCTGTAATCCCAGTTACTCAGGAGGCTGAGGCAGGAAAATCGCTTGAACCCGGGAGGTGGAGGTTGCAGTGAGCTGAGATTGCACCATTGCACTCCAGCCTGGGCAAAAGAGCAAGACTCTGTCTCAAAGGAAAAAAAAAGAGAGAGAGAGTTTACTTGATTTTTAAACTTTTATGTATTTTTTATTGTTGTTGCAGAGACAGGTTCTTGCAATGTTGCCCAGAGCTGGTCTTGAACTCCTGACCTCAAGCAGTCCTCCCACCTTGGCCTACCCAAAGTGCTGGGATTACAAGGATGAGTCACTATGTCTGGCCTTAAAGAGTTTATTTGAGCCAAAGTGAGGGCAGCTGCCCAGGACACACTTCCAAGTTGCCTTGGGGAGTGTTCTGTTCCGCCTTTGTTGCAAGCAAGTTTTCAAAGGCGAAAGGGAACAAGGAGTGGGATGATATAAAGTTGTTTGACGGTTCTCATTGGTTTTCAGAAATAACGCTGATTAGTGATTGGCTATACATTGTTGAACTATAGAATATGAGTTATGGTGTCCAGAGTGTGGCATTTTACGGCTACTGAGTGTCAGTCTAGAGCCCAGATGGCAAGTGGCTTCAAGAGGGAATTATTGATCTCATGGGCGGAGTGAGACGTGACTACAGGCACATTTTAAATGTCTCTCTGGGCCTGGTATTTCAAAGGGGCTGATGTTCCTCAGATTAAAAAGTTTCTTTTCTTTCTTACTCCCTAGCCTGGCATGAAAAGCCTGGCTCACAGCCCACCTCCCTTTTCCCAGGTCTGTCTCTCAGGCCACCTCCACTGGGTCCCAGCTGCACAGAACTCCCCACAGTTCTCCAAAGAGCCCACTCAGTGCCACACCTGAGGCCAGTCACCTTAACGTGCATTATAGGAAAATTCTCGAAAGCAATCTTTGCGACCCGCTGAATCCCATCTCCAGGCCTTTGATGTTTTCTCTGCCTGGAGTGCCCTCTCCTAACTTTCTGATTCCCACCCACCCTTTAGGGCCCGGCGTAACCATCTCTTCCTCTGTGGAGCATTTCTTGACTACTAAAGTCAAGTTCATCTCTCTTCTTTGTGTCCCCACTGACCTAGCAGATACTTCAGTTTGTAAACATCTGTGATGATCACTGACCTAGGCAAAGCTAAGTGAGGCCAGGGACCCTGTCTCTTGTTCATCACCGAGGTGCCAGCACCACGTAGAGCCAGGCTCACTCACTGAATGATGACCCCATGTCTCCCCCGGCCACATCAACCGCGAATGAACAGATGTACCAGGCTCCCCTGTACCAGTGCCTCTCCACTGCCCTTGGCGCAAAATGTTTGTTTTTCATTTCATTAGGCTGAAAAAGAATGGTTTAGCTGCTTCCCTGGGTATCACTGCCAACATGCCCCAGTGGCCCAGATGGCTTCTTCACCAACAACTGTGACTGGTGACCCCAGTGTGACCACTAGCTAAGACCTTTGTCCCACGGGGGAAGTGCAGACAGGTGCCCACGTCAATAGATCCTGCCAAAGATGTCTAGTGCTAATTCTTCTCCCCAGCCAAACCAAGTTGGCCAGGCTGCAAAATGCCTGAGGAAGACCTGCCGCCAGAGCGGGCCTACCCACACCTGAGGGCTCCCAGGTGCCTGTGGGCCAGGCTCTGTGCCTTCAGCAGTTGCTGCTGCTGCTGCTACGGCTCTCCCAGTCATGAGCCAGCCCCGTGGACTGCTGGCATCAGCCTGGGAGCTTAGCCATTTCATGCATCTGCAGCAAGCATCGGCTCCTTCTCCCAGCTCTGTGTGTGGAAAGTAGCAAGCTCCACTCAACTTAACCATGGACAGAGCAGCCAAGTTTTAGAGCACCAGGTCTGAAGGCTGCCTGACCTTTCTCTCCCAGAGTACAGTCCTGGCTAGGACTTCAAGCCTCAGTGAAGATTTATTTTTACTCAGACCTAGCGTTGAAAGCTCAGGAAACAGGCTTTCATTTAACGTCTGGCCAAGAGACATGCTTGGAGATTGACGGCATTTCAGGTCAGGTGCCTCTGGTTCTGGCCCAGGCAGAGGCCGGTGTCTGCCAAAAGAGTGGCCGGGGCTGGGCGCGGTGGCTCAAGCCTATTATCCCAGCACTTTGGGAGGCTGAGGCGGGCGGATCATGAGGTCAGGAGATGAGACCATCCTGGCTAGCATGGTGAAACCCCGTCTCTACTAAAAACAGAAAAAAATTACCTGGGGGTGGTGGCAGGCGCCTGTAGTCTCAGCTACTTGGGAGGCTGAGGCAGGAGAATGGCGTGAACCCGGGAGGCGGAGCTTGCTTGGAGCTGAGATTGTGCCACTGCACTTCAGCCTGGGTGAC